TACCACAAAAAATTAGTTCATAATTTTTAGTAATAAAAAAAAAATAGGCCGCAGAAAAATATTTTTCATTGACTACAGAAAATTAACTTTTATTTTAGTGAAAATATTTTTCATTAAAATATATATGAAACAAATCAACCTTAATAACGGAAAGAAAATAAAAATTATTATTTATTTATTTTTATTATTTAAATATTTATTTATGATGATTTTTTTTTTCCATCCCGCCCGCTCGGTTCCCCCCATTTTTTCCATTTCCGCGCCCCAAAATCCCCAATCTCTTTAGAACCAAAAAAAACCCTAAATCTAATCGTCTCCCTCACATCACTCTCTCAGTCGCCTCTCTCTCTCTCTCTCTCTCTCACCCTCTCGTTTATCTCTGCACCGATCTCGTTCATCTCTGCACCGATCACTCTCTCACTCTCTCGTTGTTCATCTCATCGATTCGCACCGATCATCGCACCGCCGATCTACTCACAGGTAAACTCTCTCTCTCAATCTCTGTCTCTCTCTCTCTCAGCCCGATGGTTGTTTTATAGATATATCTCTGATCTAATATGACTCTTCAATGTTGAGTTGAGAATGTATAGTTTTCGATGGATAACAGAGTTGCGACAAATTTGAGGACTCAGCATCATCAGTGAAAAGAGACGTGTCCCTCGACACATGGCGTTGGGAATGGGCCACTTCTGGAGGGGACGAAGCTTGGTGGATTCGCGTGAGAGGTACTCATGAAATGTACTGCTAATTTTTTTTTTTTTTTTTTTTTTTTTTTTTCATACATAATATATAAATCATGCTACCACCATACCTTTCGGGAAACAAATCATTTTATTTTATGGGTTGTGTTAAAAGAGAGAGAGAGAGAGAGAGAGAGAGATGGGGATGATATTTGTGGTGGAGCTGGAGGGTAGGACTTACAGATGCAAGTTCTGCAAAACCCACTTGGCCCTTGCAGATGACCTTGTCTCCAAGGTAACTTCTTATATGTATTTATATCTATATGTTTTATGTGTTGCCTATATATGTATATGTTTGTGGTATAATTTTATTTTTGTTGGTTGGTTATTATAATTGTGGTTATGAGCAAACTAAACAATTAGAAAAAAAGTTACACAAATTAACAAGATTTTTCCTATGCAACAATGAAGCTTTGGAATTTGGAACATGAGTCAAGTCAGTAAATAAGAAAAAATTGTAAGATTTGTTAGTTTGTATAGCATCACTCTATGCAAGTTTTGGAACTTTTGGTTCTTGAAATGTTATTTGAGGGCATTGACAATAATAGCTGTAAGAATTTGGTTCTTGGATGAGATTAAAAAAAAAAGAAAGAAGAAGAAATGTCTTGTATCTAGAAAAAAAAGCCCAGATTTTGAATAGATGGCGTGGATTTAAAAAAGAAAAAAGGGTTGTTGGAAGCTTTGCTTGGTGTGGGCTAATTATGAATCGGAACATTGGAGAGAACCTTCTAGCTTGAGGTATAACTGGTATAATGTGGAACAAACTCACTCTTCAAATGTAAATACACCTTTAAAGGCTCAATTGGATGCTTAAGTGCCCCAATAATGTATAGCAAAACAATGAAGGATAATGAATCATCAATTGCAATGAGAACTAAATATAGCATAAGTTACAATTACATAAATTCCTAAAGTGGGAGAGACCCCCCCAAAAAAAGGGAATAAGACTCATTTGAGAGGAAATAAAGTTTCAACGTATCTCTTTAGGTGACGAAATTATTTGGTGCCTCATGGGCACCACATGGCCATGCTAAACCCTCTATGATGGGCATCCATCACCAACATAAATTAGTGGACCTTATCGTTTCGACCAAGCATGTTCAAGTTGGAACACCAAGTGATCGTGTCCAACGGCACTAAATAACTTCTCCTTTAGTGGGGCTCCACTCTCACCCCAACCCACCCCCTAGACATTTGATGCCCTTCATTTCATATCAAGGAAGGAAGAGTGGTCCCTTCAATTCCTATCAGTCACTACTGTGATATGGAAAATGCTAAGATCCCAAATAATTTATCAAATTTTTTACCAAATCTTTCGTATGGGTGTGAACTTACACAAACCCACATGTGTGTGGGTCTCACACCAATGTGAGAGATTTGATAGAAAATTTGATAGATTATTTGGGATTCCTAGCATTACTCTCGAGATATATATACTCTTTTTCTCTCCCTCCTTTAATGAAATTCAATTCAAAATGTTTCACAACATAAACATGCACTCCCAAAGAAACAATGGCAAAGTTGTACATCCCAATCCATCACTATTTGAAGGGTTTCAGTAACACCATGGAACTACGTCACACAGCAATTTAGTCCTTCTATTACATTTCATTCACTCTTGGCAATTAAGTTGATGACATCAGACTAACCTAACGTGATAAATTGGTGAAAATAACCCTAAAATCCCTCCCCCTAAATTTTTTTTTCCATTAACAACTTCATAAACCTGTTATTGTAGAGAAGGGTGTTTGGTTGTAGGATTATTTTTGTTTTAAAATTAAAAAATATATTTATGATTAATTTACCAATTTACTGTTTATTTAGGTCCCACATAACCTATTTAATGACCAAAAAAAAAAAAAAAGAAGAAAGTTTAGGGACTCATAATCTAAAAAAGATGAAAAATTCAAGAACTTTTGGCATAATTTACTACAAATAAAATGTTCAGTACCTCCAAGAAAGATAATATTTAATAAGACACTGAATTTCATTAGTGCTCTCAACTTTGCCATGAACTAGGAACACTCTAGCTTGAAAGTTATTTGTTTACAAAAGTTTGTTTGTTTGTTGTTGAAATGATGTGTCCACCCAAGCATTGTGAAGATGGTGGGAGTGTATTTTCACATCATAAAATTTGGATGTATGTGCAATATGAACATCTCTTGACATTTTATTATTAAGCAAATAACATAATTTGAAGAATGAAAGTGTACCTGACAGATATTTGAGTAGGTGGATTTTCTTTCATGCAGTGATGTCAGTCTCCCTTGTTATGTATTTTAGGGTATTTGATTGTGGTGCTACAAAAGGAAAAGATTGGTTTTTGGTGTGTCCAATCATATCCGTCACATCACTGGGTTGTACAATAACTTCCCAAGAATATTGATGATTTTTTTTTGGTTGGTAGCTTGAGATGTTAAATATCATCTATTTTGTACCAGAGTGCTTAAAGTGTTCTTTGATTGTTTATTTATTATTTGACTAATAGTACTCTTTTACTCTCTGGGGAGATGTCAATTTCGTCAATCATATCGTAACTCTTTCACTTTCAGGAAGAAAAGCAAGGATTTAACCAATTTAATTTTGTTATTAGATCATAGGTTTCTAATTTCTTGCTACATTTTGAGATGCATAGATCCATCTGTTCAAATTTTATGTGGATTTTCAACTTTGTTACTCACTAGTTGTTTTGTGATTTGATCAGGCTTTTCATTGCCGCAGGGGAAAAGCATATCTTTTCAATAATGTGTGAGTTCTTTGTAGTTTTGTCATAAACCTTTTGATTGCCGCCGATCGTTTGTTATTGCTGTTTGATTTTTTCTGTTCCTGTTTTTATTTTTACTTCTTACTTCCTTTTTTGGGTAAGAGGAAAATTCATGAGATAGGAACCAACAACTGGGAAATGTTATGTATATGCTTTGTTTGACTCATGTTTTATTGTTAATATGCTCCAACAGACAGGTGTTTTATTTAAGATGTGCCAAAGCTGAATTTAAAATAGATAGTTGATAGTTTATTGTAATGAATGAGAACCTTATTTCTGATAAATAATTTATAATGTCTATTGGGGAGGATATGAATGTTATATTGCTAATGAGAAGTAAAAAGCTTTTTGAGAAAAGACTGACACCATAATACGTTTTAAATTTCCAAGCCACAAACCATGGCTGTAGCATGGTTATCAGAATTCCAATTTGGATCGTAGTAGGATCTTAAAGTGACTATAATCCTAGGCATAAAATCCTGTAGAATCGCATTACGATCCCGATTCTATTACAATCCTAATCCTACAACCAAAAAAAAATTTAATTTTTAGTGGACACCCTGTTTTTTTTTTATTTTTTCGTAAATTTTTTTTCGTTACACCTGATTAACTACCATATATAGAGTTAATTGTAATCACATATTAGTATTCTTCTCACAATTCTTTATGATGGACCCTCTGCATGTGAGTTCCTACAAAATAAATTTGTGTATTCTACAATCCAAGACAGGTAGGAACCCTTTAAGTCCAACCCTTCCCACTCCCATCAGACATGAAAAAATTCCCCAGGTATATTACAATAAGAGTTTATTACACTATTTTGGACTACATTGAATTCCATTATTATTATTATTATTATTATTATTATTATTATTATTATTATTATATTATTATTATTTTTTGTGAGCAGGGAAAGCTTTGGTTTCTCCAATTGAGAGATATGCAGTTGTTCCTGATGACAACGTAAGTGTTCTTTCCACAGTCTTCATTGTCTTCATTATTGGTGTTTAAATAGTTGATTTCTCCAAAAGATTATAATTTGCAACTGTTATCTATTTATTTGTAGGTCAAAAGGATAAATTTTGCCGAGGGGAAGATCTGATTATAGAAGGAATTTGGAGCTTGATTTTTGAAATAGGCTCAAAATTGAGAACTTGTTGGAAATTTTTTAATTTTTGTAAGAGCATTTAAATATCCAATGTGCTGATTGGTGAATTTTAGATTTTATTTTTTTATTTTATTTTTTTTTAGGATTTGGGTGAATTTTATAATTTAAATATGCTTTTATGAACATGTACAGTTTAATTGTTCTTTGTAAAATATTGAATTTGATGGTTTGATCAATTTAAATTTTTATTTTTATTTTCTGTTATGATGTTTTTGTGAATAGAATGTAAATAATCAGCTCTTAGAGAGAGACGGCACCGCCGTCGGAAAAAATAGAAAATTTTAATATTTTTATTTTGTTACAGGTTTTACTTTTTGCGACAGGAAAAAATAGAAAATTTTAATATTTTTATTTTGTTACAGGTTTTACTTTTTGCGACGACATTATACTGTCGCAAAAAATAGAAATTTTATTATTTAAAATAGAAAATTTATTATTTTTTAATATTTTTTGTGACGGTATTACACTGTCGCAAAAAATAGAAAATTTCATATTTTTTATATTTTTTGCGACGGCACTACACCGTCGCAAAAAGTAGTGTTTTTTTTTTTAAAAAAAAGACTATTGGCGACGGTATTTATTGCCGTCTCAAATAACATTTTTAGCGACGGTAAAATAGGGCCGTCGCAAAAAAGTCAAGAAATTTCAAACGTTTTAGCGACTGTATGGTGTCGTCGCAAAAAAGCAAAAAATGCCGTCGCAAAACATTAGCGACGGCACTTACCGTCGCAAAAACTCTTTTGCAACCCCTGCAGTTGCGACCCCCCTCTTGCCGTCGCAAAAAGTCATTTTGCCGTCGCAAAAGTATTAGCGACGGCATTAGGAGTATTAGCGACGGTATTTTACCGTCGCAAAAAGTCAATTTTTTTGTAGTGACTTGTCCTTCATTTTTTTTTTTTTTGGAGATAAATGTGATAAATTAAATAGTTACAATTATTGGATTGACTTTTTTTGAGGGGCTACAATATATACGAAAGACTTGACAAGATGAACGGTGGTGGTGGACTCTATGAGTCCAGACAACACCCTGCAGTCCAGATTATGATGAATTATATATGTAATTTCTCTCCCTAATTTGGAATAATGTGGAATAAATTGAAATAATCTGGGATAATTTCTCTCCACCTAAGGCAAAGTTTTTGTCATGGCTAACATGGAAAGGTAGACTTAAAACTTTTGATTTTTTAAGTAGGATTGGGGTGCTCAGGGATAATGTGGATTTATCATGTGTGTTATGTAAATCAGAGCCTGACCTGTGAACCATATTATGCTATGGTGCCCTTTTGTGTGGCAGGTATGGTCAAGCATAATTCTTTGGTGGGGCTTGAGTTGGGTATTGCCTAAATCGGTTGAATGTCTGTTACAATGATGGATGGGCTGGATGTTCAAGAAAAAGGTGAGACAAGTTTAGCGAGCATTACCAATAGTTGTGCTTTGGTCAATGTGAAAGTTTAGAAACGATTGCATTTTCTTTGATACTCAACCAATTGGTGTCATGACCCAAACTTGCTTTTAGAGGTTTGGATCATAATCCACCAGCAATCATAAGATTTACTTAAGGCTTAAGACAAATCAAAACATATTTAATTATATGGAACTAGAAGTGAAAGTTGAATTAATTAATAATAATTTCATAATCTCAAATATTTTACTTGTGAATCTTAAAGTGCAAATTAAATACTATTAAACAGTATTTTAATTAATTTTAAACTATAAATAATTTTTTATGAAAATTCACAATTTTAATGGCTAATAACAACAACAACAACAATAATAATAAATAAGAGGGGTTGTTAATTATATATATAAAGAAAAACAAAACCTAGTATAATGCATGTTGCATGAGCCGTGAGATTAAGAGAAAAAGAAGCTGCGTTGGGTTGTCATTAGGGTTCATCAGAATCTATAACAAATTCTTCAAAGTAGACTAATCTTCTAATTGTTTTGTCTCTTCTTCTATATATTTTTTTTTCTCTCTTTCTTTATTGTAGTGTGTCATTTGGCACTGTTTTGGTTGTTCTCAAAGTACCGTGAGAGAAACAAAAATAATGTGCCCATATATAATGTATGGCATGTGTGGAGAGGTTATTTGGAGGCTTGCATGTGTGTCTTTGGCAAAGTGAAAGGCTGAAGGTGTGTTTGGGTGGTAATGGGTTGGTTTGTGAGTGTGCAACGCAGTGGGTGTAAATTGTAGTCTAAAAATTCTACACACAAATACAAATTTTAAAAATTTAAAAATCATATTAAACTAATGAATTTTAAGCTAAAATTTTTACACTAATCTAATTACATATTGAATTTCATACCAGAATTGTCTTATAATTTTTGGGAGTCAAAATCTATATGAATCATTGTGTTCAAATCTATCCAGAAAACTAGTATAAAACAATAACTTTGGAAGCGTCATTCTCTTTTGGTATAAATCCAAAAATTATCAAATCAGTATCATTAGAACCAGTTACGAGTCTAGTTTCTTACATTTTTGGTCTTTCATTGATTGCTTGGGTATAATAAGAGAACCATTAATTTCTTTAAAGTGCTGCAGAAAGCGACCTGTTTAGATATAATTAATTGTAAATAATTATTTTGATAAGCAAATCAAGTAAAACTAATTGAGTTCGAAACTTAGGATGAATTAGTTGATATCTGGAGGGTTTTGAAATTTTTCTAACAATATGGTGTGGGTTTTTAATTTTCAAATTTAGCGAATGGATTGGAAAAATTTGTTTAAAATTCTGTTTTATCTTGAAATTACTTTTAATTAAGTTTCGATATAAATCCATGTCTTGGGTAATTTTAGACCTTGAAGAACATGAACTTAGATATTATTTAATAGTAACGGTGAGTTGGGCGATAGTGTGATTTAGCTTGGGGTTACTTAGTTTCTTATTCTTTTTTAGTATTTTTGAGTTACTAGTGACATGTAGTTGTTATACTTGGTTCAGGACACTAGTTTGACTTTCCTTGTGATGACCCCACCACGTGTAATATTTTACATTTAATTAATTAAGGAGATTTGGATTTTAATTAGTCATCATTTTGATTTAATTTGGGATTTATGAGAATTATTAAGTATAATTCGTATATGGTTTTGTCAAGGATCTATTTTGAAAGCCTAAATGGCTTGAGGAGGTAAAATTAATGAGTTGAATCAGTTTGATTTCAAGTATCGGACCATATGGGAGTTTAATTAAATATTCAATTCAGTATATTAAAATTGAGATTTGATTAACTATGTCCGAATTAGAGTTAATTAAGTTAATTCAATTATGAGAATTGAGAATTACAGTTATTCTGAATTAAATTTACTCATAAGGTGGCCAATGTGAATGTGCAATTTATTACTAAGAATTTTGGGTCTAACCAGAAATTGGAAGCCTTAATGACTTTAGAAACCAAAATTAATGATAGCAATACATTTAACTTAATATTTGGAGCATGTTGGGAGTTTGATTAATACTCTGATTCAAATTGATAAACTTAATTGTAATTAATTGGGCCTTAAATGAAGTCAACTGGACTAATTGAGTTATGTAGGAATTTATCAATCAAGATTAAGTATGGCTAATTGGGGTTTAATTTAGCTAATTGTGTAATCAAGAGTTAAAATATTCTCACTTGTGTGATTAATTGTGAAGTTGTATTTAGAGGATCCTAGCCCTTATGTGTCTACGTTATATATGTTGATAATTTAAGAGGTGTGTTGGGCCTTGCATGGGTGTCAAAGTCAAGAGGGGTGTGTGTATTTTTTTATGTTGGAACCTTAAGTCAAAAAGTGGGTCATTATTATTTGTTTTGTGCTGAGAAAGTGGGTGTGGGTGTACTAAGAAATCTAGTTTTGTGTGTGTGCACATGTGAGTGATGTGCTGGAGCCTCAATAAAATGTGCAAGTGTGTGCACACGTGGTGTGTAATGAAAAAATGAGATGTATGTGTGTTATATGAGCTAAAAAGAAGAGGGGTTGCAATCATTCTTTATGTTTTCATTTCCTGTTGGAGGAGTTAGAGAGAGAGATCAAGAGTTTAGAGAGAGTATAAAGAGATAAAGTTCCATTTTAGAGAGAAGAAGCTTAAGATTTGTAGAATTGAAGAAAAAACAAGAAGAATTGGAGGAAACCAACACATAATTTCTGAAATTGAAGCTTAAGATATTTCTAATAGATGAGATTAACAGAGTTATAGAATCAATTCCACGGTTCAGTAAGAAAAATGGGTTTAAGGCAAGAATTGAGTTATATGCATGTTTATGACAAATAATAGATAATTTCTCCATTTTGATTTTGGTTTTGAAGTTCTTTCATGCATGAGTGTTTATATCTTGCATGTTTTCAGGAAAATCCATAGATTTATATCATTAATTTCATGATTTGTTCTATAAAGAAAATAAGTTTGAGAAATCTTTGCATGCATATAGTTTTGGTTCAATTTTTAAGAAATTAATGAAGTTTTGAACAATGATTTTCTAAAGAGTCATGTATTGGTATTTTCCAAGTGTTTTCATGTTTTCAAGCAAGCCACGCATAACCCCAAGTCTTGGAATAAAGATTGGAAGCTTAAATCTTCAGTTTTGAAACCCAGAAATTTCACAGATGGCTCGAGTGACAAAGTGGTGGATCAAGCCAACATTGCAAGCTCCCAGTATTTTTCATACTATAAAACTAGCTCGAGCGACCAAATGGTGGCTTGAGCGAAGATGGCTCTAGCAACCAAAAGTTGGCTCTAGCCAAAGTTCATTTCTAGCGTGTTTTCAAAAGATGTTTTGGGTTCATATCTTTATTCTCATTTCCTTCTGGGCATTCTTAAGCGTGAATTATGACTTATTAAGGATTAATAAGCTAAGAAATAACTTAAGTAATTATTAGAAAAGATAAGAAGAATTATTCAATCCGAATATGTATTATAATATGTCCAAGTTATGAGATATGACAAGATTTTTGAATGAGGCCTTCGAGACGTTAAGTAATGCATTTGACTCATGTTAATGTTTCGTTTAAGTTATCGTTTAATGACTGTAAGTTGAGAACAAACTTCTTGAGTATGAAAAGAATAAGTAAGGTAAGAATTTGTGGAATAGGAATTCGGTTTACT